CCCGGCTGCTCTGCTCACTGCAGTCAGAGACTCGGCGGCGGAGGACGGAACTAGTGGAGAGAGGTAAGTGCAGGGGGGAGGGGAAGAGGCTGCACACTGTTTACATGTGAAATCGGCGACATCGCCGATTTCACATGTAAACGAAAAATCGTCTGCCTCACTCTACATTTAGTCCTGCTTGTACAAAGCAGGACTGAATGTAGAGAGGGCAACCTCCCCACAAGGACACCGCTGCCGCCCCTCTGCGCCCTGCCGCCCCGAGGCCGGGCCTCGGTGGCCTTGTGGGGAATCCGGGCCTGCACATGCATACGCAATGGAATGGACATATGAACGAGGCACACAGGAAGTGACATGTCTCTCCCTAATAGATGGTCCAATTTAAACTGGCTTGCCCAATGGGTCAGTTCTGAACGGTCTTTCGGCTTGTGTTCCTGTCAGTTTTATTACATGTTGCCTTGACCTGTATTTCCTTGACTACACCTGATTGCTGCCTGCTCTTGAGCTCTGCTTGTTTCCTAGATTCGCTTCTGTCTTCTCCCTTGGTACCGTGCTGACCGTCTGGCTTTGACCCCTGGCTTGTTTGACTTCGCTCCAGTTCCTGCTGCAGACCACGCTGACTTCTCAACTGAACACCAGCCCTGCTCATCCTCCCGGGGACCCAGTTGCTGGACTACTACCAGGCACAGTGTCTGAACACCTTGGCACCCGTGCTTCTCTCTGTCTATTCACTCCCTGGCCCCTGGCTTGTTTGACTTCGCTCCAGTTCCTGCTGCAGACCACGCTGACTTCTCAACTGAACACCAGCCCTGCTCATCCTCCGGGGACCCAGTTGCTGGACTACTACCAGACACAGTGTCTGAACACCTTGGCACCCGTGCTTCTCTCTGTCCATTCACTCCCTGTCCCCACATCGAGGGGTGTGAGACAAGAGCCGTAAGGGAAGCCTTCTCAGCTATCGGTCCTCTACCAGGTACGTGATGCTTTCCAAAGAGGACATAGATTGCAATGAAACCACTTTTTAGAGCACAATAGAAATAGGTCTAAACCCCAGTTTAACTGCTGTATTTGTCTCAGTTGGAAAGATTTCTACTTGTTGTGGAGGTGACAAAGAAAGGAAATAAGGGGAAATCTGCCCCGCATGGACAAGGGCAATGGTGAATAGCTGAAAATGGTTACAATCCTTCGTCCATTCTATTCAAAACTGAAAAAACAATGTGTTAGAGAGATTTCCACTTAAGTATACTAGATAATTAGACCCCTCGGTTTTTCTCCTCCACCTCACCCCATTATCACTGAAGGTGTACAAACGTTATTTGATGATCCACCTTCTAAATGTGACAAGGGCTTGTATTGCAGCATTGTGGAAGCTATCCCAGCCTCCCACCACGGAGATGTGGATACAGAGGGTGGAGGAGATAAAGCTGATGGAGGACCTTACCTCGTTCCTTCATGGTACCCAGGATAAATTTGTTACCATGTGGGCGGCTTGGCTCCAGTTTAGGGACTCCACTGTTTACACTCAAGCATGCTCGGAGTGATCCTCCTGGGATTTCTGAAGGCTCCTGGTTCCCTCCCTGCACCGTGTTTGGAGGGGACCCCGTTACCCTCTGAGGTTGGATGTTTTGTGGATTGCAGAGGGCAGGGTTTTGCTTTTTTTGCTTTTCTCCCTCCTCTTACTTCTCTTTGTTAGTCTCTTTCTTTATGTCAGTTCTTTGTTTATGTTACATTTTCTTTCTGGTTTCTTGGTCATGGCAATTTTACTGTGGTGTCCTTTGTCTTTTTGTATCTGTTATTCTTGCATTAAAACGTTGCAAATGTTAAGGCATTAGATGGAAATGTTTCATCAAGATTGTCTTTATGTTATGCTTGATTGTGTGCTCAGTTTTGCCACTTCTTTGTGACCTTTTCTCATTTTTATATTTGTTGATATATTTGTGTGTGGCTAACTGCTTGATGTTTCTCCTGCCTTGTCTTTTTCTAAATAAAGAATAATAAAAAAAGTACACTGGACAACAAGGTGCATAGGACTGGAAACAAATGTGTATATTTTTAGATAGAGGTGGCAGCAGGGTATGAATGTTCTGCTCGCAGATTCTATACACTAGATATTTTACTTCAGCTTTAGGTTTCCATCTTGTTTGACAAGAGGTAATTACAGATGAAGGATTAAAGCATATCTAAACCCCAAAATAAAAATGTCATATATTGCACCTCACAAGCCCAGACCAGATGTGGCCTTTATTTATTTCCAAAATGTTTTCCTTTTTTTTTTTTTTTTTACCTCGTAATTCTGCCAGTAAGACACTTCCAATCCTAGGACTATAGAAGACTGCCCCTCGTCTATACTTCATAACATAGAGTGGGTGATTCTGCAGTTTTTAGAGATAACTGAGAACAAAGTAAGTGATCACTGCAGCACAGGTAGAAAACACAGGAAGTTACCTTCTCACGAGATTTTTGGTATAATCAACAAGCCAAAAGTGACCAAATAATAGACATTCAATGTTAGGGTTTACATACACTTTAAAGTATGTAAAGACAAGATTTTTCATTTTAGTTTGGCAAAAATTTGGGAAGGGTTAGACCATTTGTCAAGTTTTTAATGCTGTCCGTGTTTCTACTAAGGAGATTCACTCTTACTCTTGTCTGGTTGACCATTGTAACCCAGACAAAAAGTTATAAAAAAAATCTAACAATGTGTCACCAGAGTAAGAGGTGAGAAGAACCCCTCCAATAGGGACACCTTTTCCAGTGATAACTCTTTGAGATGAGAATTCCCTTGAATTTAGAGAAATTTCCTCTTGCGTTTCCAAGACAGGAAAATAAGGGAAATTTCATAAGTGCAATACGGGCTGCAAAAAGTAACCACATGGCAAATGACCCAATCAGCATATGTTTAGTGAATGCTCAACTCACCAACCAACTGCTTATTTTTTACCAGAACAATCTCTAAATAATTCCTTGGGTCACTCCTTTTCATTTTGGTAAGCACAGCATTTAATTCACATTTAATTTCATCTTTATTATTAGATATCACTACAGAAAAATCCTAAAGATTCATTCAGATATCTGTGCTAATCCCCAGTTCTTAAAGTGACACTAAATTCAGGAGTTAAATCTTTAAAAATACATTCAAGTACCTTAACTAATAACAAAAATTTATCTTATTTGTATATCACTCAAATGTAGATGATCAAATCAACTCTGAATTGGTGCCGACACTGTCCTTCCTTCCGGAGGGTGGCTACTTTTTTCCCCCATGGTCACTCAGTGTGTTGTAAAGAAGTCACCACTCCAAGCTCACTCCCGTGATGGACTGCAATCTAAATACAAATTAGTAAACTAAACAGGAGATTGTAGTCCATCACGGGAGTGAGCTTGGAACGGTGGCTACTTTACAACACATTCAGGGACCATGAGGAATAAAAGTAGTCACCCTCCAGAAGGAAAGACAGTGTCGGCACCAATTCAGAGATGATTTGAAGATCTACAGCTGAGTGATACACAAATAAGATACATTTTTCTTGCTAGTATGCGTGCTTGAATGCAGTTTTAAGGTTTAACTCCTGAGTT